TTTTTTTTTTTTTCCAGAATGTATAATCTGATCATCACATTTTGAAGATATAGACATGTTGAAATATTTAACCTTTCTTAATGTATATTTATTAGAAATGAGACTCCAGCAAAGTTTCAAACTGCTCAAAGGTTCAGTGTGAAATAATTTAAGTTTGTAGAAACTAGCCTTTTATTCTCTCTGGTAAATAAGGCATCATGAGTGTTTGCAAATCCCTTCTACATGTGTTTTGTTTGAGTTTTTATACATCTGGAATCAGAGCTCTGATTGTTCTCTGAGCATTTCTTCCTCAGTATGACATTTACACATTTATTAGTGTTCTTTGTATTTACCCCATAACTTGTAATATTTTATGGCCAAGGCACAGATTCTCACTTGAACTCTGCATGGCATCCCACATGGTGCCATTGTAGTGAAATGTCTTTGTCTGCAGATGACACTTTTCTAGTCTGGTGAAAAAACACATATCCATCCCTTTATGTACAGAATTGGAGTTGTTAGTGTTTAATCTGACCCAATAGACTCATATTGCTGTTTAGTATCTATAACCTATTCACAGATTATTTCTGAGGACAAGAACAGCGGTCAGAAATGTAAGATTAATGTGGTTGTTGTTGCTGCCATTATCTCAAAGCTACATATTTCAGTGGTCTTCTAGTTGCTTTAGTTCCACTTTGGTGAGAGAATAATTGAAATGGTATGTTTTGACTTACCAATTGAAGAGAGTGACTGACTCAACATCCTTTAGCCATGGTACCTTTGACCTCCACATTATTCATGGCCCACAAACAGCCGGCTGTTACTGAGGTCAGAATTTTAAAACCATTTGTTTTGTATTTTGGAGTAGAGTTCAAATAAAATATGTGCAGCAGTACTGACAAGTATTGTACGAGATTGCAACCATCAATTAGGTACTTAAAGCTTATTAAATCAGAGTTTAATCACAAAGTCTCCCATGTGTAAGCATGTTAATGTTAAAAACATCACAGATGTAGCTCTAACCTTTTCATTTAACAAGCACAGTGGTGGTGGGGGGAGGGGGGGTATACACCCCTTGTCATGCTCTCTCTGCTCTCACCCTTGATAGAAATTTCAAGACACCAGCTCACACAGGAGAATGTAAATTTAGTGTTGCCTATAAATTTAGAACAAGACCAAATTAAGTTTTAAAGGTCTCAGGCGGGGTCTCCTCTGAGGCTGTGCTGCATGTCACAAAGCTAGCGTATGCATTTGTAGGAGTGTGAGACTTGAACCACATTGTAACCCTCCCCCTGTCATTTCAGAGAATAGTTCATCTAGCTTTTAATGATCATTAAGCACGCTTCCAGATGTTGGGAGGGGAATTCATCCTCACACAGTTCCTAGTGCGCTGCGGCAGCAAACAAGAGCGAGACAGAAGAATCCAGAAAAACATGGGAAAGCAGAACTGCATCCTAACTTCATGGGAATTACAAACAGCACTCCGTTTTTACAGGAGAGAGCATATGGAAGTAATTGTTACAGTTTCTTTAATGTGCCTGCTAAAAAAGTCTGTCAACCTTTTTTCCCAGTTGGTGGTTCAATCAATGCTCTCTCGGAGAAACGGCAATTCATCATCATAATGGATCCTTAGATGCTGTGAATGTCATTTGTAGAATGTCGGGAAAGACAACAAATAAGCAGGAAAAATCAATATTTATAAGAGTAATTATGAATTTATTCTACAAGGGATTATACTGGAGCTGAGATTCAGTGTGGGAGAAAAACATATTCAAGAGGGGAAAATTAAACAATTAATGACATGAAGCATTATTTTGATTGACAGATGTGTCTTCAATTGAATCTCTGCTGGTAAAGAGATACTTTGTTCCATTTCTGAAAGCTTTAATTTCAGAGAAAACAGCTGTCGGGAGCGCTTCTATTATTTAAACTCAGTCCCACACAACTGTGGAAAGCAGTATCTTAACACATGAAAAAGAAAAAGAAAACAAGCGTATTTGTACAGAGAAGTCCTTATTATTTTGAAGGCAGATTTTGTCCTCTCTACTCCTGCAGCAGTGAGAACTATGCCTCGGTTATATGGCGTGAGAGCAGTAGCCCCAGAAAACACAGGCTTTACTATTGCTGTGATGTTTCTAATTAAATTCACCTGCATAATCAGAGGGACGACGAGTCAGAGGCCGCAAATAAACCGACAGGGCAATTTAAGAATCGTAAATCCCACAAGGGCTTGTTGGCATTTTCACTGATGTGTTAAAGTTGTTAATTTTGTTTTCATGAACGCTACCTTTGGTTGGCACAAAAAGGCTGCGGTCAGGAAATGCACGAAAGGGCAGTTGTTTAGTCTCTGTGTACTGTTTACTTACTTTTTCATGCAATTGTTGTTTTGTAGCTCTACAATTTAGCAATCTCACTCATTATAGTGCCCTGCAAATTCTCAAACCATGAATTAGGACTGCTAAAGGGTTGAAACCTATCTGAAATCAAACTATGTACACTAGTATGATATGAAAAACACACATGAACTTTTTCAAAGAAGGTGTTGTAATGAAGATGATACCTTTTACTGACTGTTAAAGTTCTTATTAGAATCGATCTATGTGAAGGAGATCTTGATTTTGATCCGTGGCAGCCTTATTGACAGAACTAACCTTTAACTCATTCTGCATAAGTCAACAAATGCAGAATGTCCATTATTATTGGTTCCTGTCATTGTATCCAGAGTCATTTAAATTGAACTCTAACATAATGCTCCATTCTGAAGTCCCCAGACATACAATAACACTTTCATAGTTACACAGCAGCTTGTGAGTCAGAACACTTGGTTTAAACAAGATTCTTCCTCCTAAATTCAGACTTGCTGCAGGCTCCTACATACACTGTTCATCACTATTACAGCCTTTCCAAATATGTCCAAATAGTCCATACTACTTTCTTTAAGCACTGTGTCCATCTTTTTCCCAGACCAGGTAGAAAGCATTACTCTGGGTTGTGTGGGTTGTCTTGGCTGACATTAAGATGACTTATTTTACACAATTAAACATTACACTACATCAAATCTAAGGCCTTTACATTATCAAAATGTATCATTATCTGTCTCAGAGGTTGTTAAGTCTTACATGGTGATGAGGTTTTTGGCAGTGTCTGGATTCAGATTTGAGGAGGTCACAGGCTTGTTCACACAGTCTTTGAGTCAGATGTTGTTACTGGAGCCTTTGCTTTTATAGAGCTGCTTCTTTTATTTCAGCTCAAAAGCAAATAGAATCTTTTATTGTCCTCACTTAGAAGAAACAACTTCAGTATAAAATCAAAACAAACAGATCCCCCCTTCAAACAACTGGGAATTCATCTGGAAGCAAAGTCTGAAAAAGTAAGAATTGCGAAACAATTATTAGTACCTTTTGAATGCATGTTTGTTTTTACATGACTTCCCAGATCCTGCATCATCGGCATAAGACATCTTTATCAGCTTGGATTTCTTTAAAAACATCCCTTTGTTGCACTTACATTGTCAATAAAGTTTAAAAATGTATTTACAGCAGTAAAATATTTTGTAAAGCAAGACCACTGGTATTCATTTACATACATCATGGTGGTGGAAGATGGTCAGTACTGGTGTGACAGGTAAGTGGTACATGGCGCTGGCTGGCCCCCTATTGGCATGCCATCAGAACAAGCTACTAGACTAATGACATACGTTGCTGATTTACAGCAAATGTCGCTGCTCCCGAAGTGGCTTGCTACTTTTTGATCTCTGTGCTGCTCCATACATCCTTCATTATCACCTTTAGCCCACTGACTGCCAGTGTAGTTCAGGGTTTATCCGGGGTCAGGCACTGTTTGAAAATCCTAAAAAGCACTATCACTCTTTAATGTCATGGAGTTTCATCAGATTTCAAGTTGTATTAAGAATTGCAAGACAGATAATGTTTTCTGACACTTAAATACACAGTAATATGAGTTTACACATACTTGTCCAAAGTAATATTAAACAAAATGTTGGATTTTTGGCAGGAGGATCAAAAGCAGAACACATTTCTTGCCAGTCCAATAACCTTTGACATGTTGATTTGTGGATTAAGGAGGAAACATGGGTAACTAATCATTTTGTTATCTTTGATCTTTGGGATGGAGTCAAATTCAGCCATGTGAAGAAGCCTAATAAGAGGAATGAGTATACGGTTATGAGGAAGAAGAAGCAAAAAGAGTTGATCCGATCATGAAATTCAAGGTTTTTGCAAAATATGTCAGTTGCAGTCAATCAGCAAATCAATGGAAAATTAATCAGTTTAATGCAGTAACACATTGTGGGTGGGTGTAGAGGGTGTGTTTTCTTTTTCAGAGTGTGAGTAATTACAGAAACAACTTCTACATTTACAGAACATGTGCACTTCCCTTGCATCCCTGATTGAAACAAATGAGGCAAATAATTAGAAGCGTGGTCTTTTAACTATGCCGAGGTAGGCCTATACCTTGAGGCCCTTTACACAGCTCAAAACAAACCATTGTATTTATACAGTAATATTTCAAAAGCTATTGCAATCAATACAACGTGCAAAACGGATCAGCCTTCCTTCAAAAGATAAATACTCTTAACATTTGAGTTGAGAGGCCAGTGCCTTAAAGGAGTTTCTAAAGAAGAGTTAGTGTGAGTGAAATGAAATGAAACCCATTGCCAGTTTGTATTTTCATTTGGGCTTCTAGTGACATCTTCAGGAGCAGGATAGTACTAGAGTCGAGGGATAAAGCAACGTCAGCACTGAACGACGTGGAAGATGGAGCGGGGGAGGGAGTCTGACGGTGATGCTTCGTTAAAGGTGATGTACCTTCAAAATAAGAGCATCAATTCATTAGAGAACGATTCCAGCCTCTTGCTTGTTAAGAAGAACACTCCAAACAGCGCCAGTTAACTATTTCATAAGATTTGCGTTACTTTAGAAGCCAAATAATGTATCTTAAAATAGATTTAAAATAATGAAAACTTTTATTTTGAAGTGATACTACTAAAGCTGTTAGCCTGCTTGGATGCAGGGATTTTCTGGATCCGACCCTTCATGGAGGCTGGCAGATAACGCGAGCGCTGTGTGGGAAATAATCATGGATGTTGCATTGAATGATATCTGAACACAACGGTGCTTTCCCGTTGAAAAATACCAAGTGGGGCTCTGTGTGTGAACGACGGGATTTTCTCCCTCGGACGACTGGACTGGTCTCCAATATCAAGCTGCTGTAGTGGAGAGGAAGCTAGCTGTCAAGACAGCCACATCAGCACCGCTGATACTAGCCAACTACATTAGCATCAATGTAAGCACTTTTCGGATGTTGTTTGTCTCCCTTTTGTCGGTGTGCATGCACGATCCCATCTTAATGTCAGTGTTTGTGTGCTGTCTTGCACAGATTTCATTATGGCTGACAGTATCATGAGTAAGGCTGCAACCATGGAGATCCCCATTAACAGCAATGGAGACACAGGGACTCTGCCTGAGGATGACAGCCTGGAGCAGGTTTGTGACATTTTCTCCCATTTTTCTGAAAATGTTTTTTTTTTAAATCTGCTTCAGCATTTTTCTGTACAGTTTGTCGTCTGCTATAATGTTCAGAAGACAGAGTAGTCTAGGGCTAGGCTGTTGTAAGGGCCAGCTGTTACCTAACCATGAACAGGCCTGCAGCTAGGTACAGTAGCTGCATATAGTGTGTAATGACCATACAGTATATAAAAGGAGGGATGCTGACAATAACTGTAAAAGGATGCTTTGACTATATGAGATTTGTCAAGCACTGAATAAAACTCATACTTTCATTGTCACTGTCATTCTCAAACAGCAAATCATGGTGGAGAATGCTGCAGAATTAGTGGCCCTACAAAGAGTATACATAGTGCCTTTGCAAGACAGGTTATTCTAGTAGCACAGAAACAATGTTGGTGTGATCTCTGTGTAGGTTTACTTGCATTGTTTAGTTTCAGCTGACATAAATGAAAGCAACTAAGATTTCTTTACTTTTCAACAAAATAGTTTTCCCATTTTTGAACATATACTGTGGTAGGGCTGTCAAACAATTCTGTTTTTAATCACGATTAATTGCAAATTTTGAAATAGTTAATCGTGATTGAGCGCATTTTTTAATCGCATGTTTCAAATTCCATTATTTTGAAATGGTTAGGCTTTTTATTTTGCTCTGTCTTAAACTGAGAGTGCTTTACCTGCTGTTTGAATTCAACCCTGCTTTTATTTTGAAATAAATAAAGGCCCCTCCTGGTAGATCAAAGTTTATGATATTAACTTAAACACGGAAAAAGAAACTTCATGATCAAAAACTTTATGAAAACAGCTCACAGGAATAATAAAAAAGTGAAACGTTGATGTAATTTAAGGTTGACCTACGAGCTGAGCCGTCTGACAGATTTGTAAACAGGAGACTTTCAAAGATGCAGCAGTGTTGCTGAGGCTTATCCACAAAAGCATGCGATTAATCGTGATTCAAAATATCAATGCATTCATTTCAGACCTTGATTAATGCTGACAGCCCTGATATATAACACATTATACACATACTTATCAAGTAGTGAGAGATTTCAAGGCTCAAATATATTGAAACATTTGTATGAATTACAAAAAGGCTTGAATTTTCTTGCGCTGCTCTTTGCATTGCCTGATTACAGAACATGATGATTAAAGACATTGTTACATATTATCCCTTCTGAAACATATGTATTACTTGTGTTGTGCTTCAAATCCCTCAGGATTTGCAGCAAGTCATGGTGTCAGGACCCAACCTGAATGAAACCAGCATCGTCTCAGGAGGTTATGGAGGCCCTGCAGGGGGCATCATTCCTACCAGCAGCATCAAAGGTACTGCTAAAAGAACTGACGGCCAGACTTCATTTCTGACATTATTTTAGTAGAGATGTTTTTTGCTCTCGAAAGATGTCTTACATTTAAAGGTGCATTAAGTAAGGGTTACTGTATATTAGCTTTAAAGTATGTTAAGAACTCTACATTAGTAAACGAGGTCATAGATCATCATAGATGACCCTGCAATTACTTTGCCAGGCGTTACCGTCTATGGCCAGCTCAACAAAGTTTATGAATTAAGAAGTAAGTCATTGTGGTCTGTACTTAATGCCCGTTTAGGAAACCAAAGAAAGTGTTTTGATGTATCGCTGCATCGAGAGCTGCAGAGCTTAAGGCTCCTGGTTCATATTACAAACGTCCATATCCCATAGGCCCTGCAGTTCGCTTCAACCCTGAGTATCTGGACAGAAGACGAGCCCCTGCACCAGGACCAGGTGGCTTTGTAATCTGACAAACCTTCTGTTGTTCTCTAAGTTAACCCTCATGTGTTGGTCTGTTTTTGCCCCTTAAAAGAGGTTTTGGCGTTGCTTGACCAAGGGAGATGAATAAAAAAAACCTTGCTTGTAACCTCTATTTCTCACAGCTTGAGTAACCAGAAATGATTTGACTTCTTTTAAAATAAGGGTTGCACTAACCTGACTATACAGGGCCGTCACTTAAATGTTGTTGTCTAATACCAATCTCTTCTTCTGTACTGAAAATATGCACTTTGGATGACTGTTTTGTTATTGCTTGTTTCTCTCATCCCATGAAGTCCATTTTCATCGTTTCGTTTAATAAATGTCTTATCCTGCATGAGAAAGCTGCATGGTGGATTGTCGTTCATCAAAGAGAAATGTTGATGTGGAACTCTTTCCGTATCCTTCACCAGGGACCCTAACACCTTTCTGCTACTTTACGCCCTCTGCTGTTTCGACTGTGCATGTTGACACATATTTCAGCAGACGTCTTCATCTCATCCTCACTCTTTATCGTCACCATGCTCATTTCAGACATTCGCATGAAATCCAGGGGTGTTAGCTTGCCTAACAGCCAGTCTGCAGCCAGTCGACTTTCCCAGCAGGCAGGCCAGCATCCAGGTACCACCATGCTCATCACCATGTTCACGCTGTCCTCACTCTTTGTCATGTCCCTTGTTATTTCTGTAAACCTATACCTTGCTACATTTAGACAAATGACATCCATTAAAGTGAGCTTTGTCCTTTTTTCTTTGATAGGATCATCGAACCATAACTTGAGTAATTCAACTGAGGAAGTTTCTCGGGGTGTCGCTGTTGAGAAGTTGGACAGTGTAAAGAAATGGGGCATAAACACGTATAAGGTATACTTGTATATACTACTTTGTTTTAAAATCTCCAGGAGTACATAGACATTAAACCAAGGTGGAGTAGTGCAAGTGAGCTATTTGTGTATGCAGGAGTTAACACCTTACAAGCTTTATTGAGGAACCTGATGTACAGATTTATCGGTTGCTTGAATGATTCTAAGAATGTAATTATAATGCTGCTGTCAAACCCAAGTTATAGTGCAGTACGCTACCAGTCATACCTTTGGAGACATTGGAATAAGTGCCTTTTATAAGAGGTGGGAATGTTTTTATTGTATATGTGTGTTGTCTATTTTTTACTATTTTTTTTACTTATTTTTTGTATTGTATGTCTTTTAAAATGGACCTTGAGTCTAATAATAAAATGATGATGATGATGATGATTAAAGATGATCTTGTTTTTTCAACTCTGATTTTTGATTGTTCTTTATGAATGGTTTGTCATCTCTGTCCATATTCCCCCTGCAGTGTACAAAGCAGATGTTCTCCGAGAGGTTTGGCCGAGGCTCCCGAACAGTAGACCTGGAGCTGGAGGCTCAGATTGACTTGTTAAGAGACACCAAGAGCAAGTACGAAAACATCCTGAGACTGGCCACTGCACTCATCACTCATTTTCAAAGCATGGTGGAGACTCAACAGGCTCTGGGCGACACCTTCACTGACCTCAGCCAGAAGTCCCCTGAGCTGCAGGTACTGTGTTTCAGAGTGTTTGGAAATGGGAAAGTAAAAACATCACATGGGAAAAGAAGTTAGAAGTTAAAGCGTGTGTGTTTCTCTGCAGGATGAGTTCGGGTACAACGCGGAAACACAAAAGCTGTTGTGCAAGAATGGTGAGGCTCTGCTCGGTGCCATTAGCTTCTTTGTGTCAAGCATCGACACCTTGGTCAACAAAACAATGGACGATACGCTGATGACCATCAGGCATTATGAAAACGCGAGGTAACAAACCTTCACATCCTGCTTCAGAGTTCAGAAACATAGTCTGAAGAGCTTTTCTGGTGATCAGAGCCTGTGACAGCTTCAACTGTGTTTGCCCGCAGACTAGAGTTTGATGCCTATCGGTCTGATATGGAGGAGCTGAGTTTGGGCCCGAGGGATGCAGCCACCATGGTCCGCATCGATATGGCTCAGCATGACTATCAGATCCACAGAGACAAATTTGAAAGGCTGCGTAGCGATGTCACCATCAAGCTCAAATTTCTGGAGGAAAATAAGGTTTGTATCTTTAAAAAGAAAAAAGTTGAATTATTATTCATCACTGTTTAATACTGTGTTCCTCCTTATTGTCAGAGGTGAAAATGACTAATTGCAATAGATAAATAGATCAATAGATAATTGCAATAGAGAAAGAGAATGTCACAAACACAAAAGAACCAATGAATGAAAAATGATTATGATCAATGCCATCATAAGTTGCATTATATAAAGGACTGCGTAAGTGCTCTTAAAAAGCCTGATTGACATGAATGAGAAGATCTCAGAGACACAGTAATCTGCATGTTGCCTTAAGGTTAATTACTGCAGAGCTCATCTGAGATGTTAGTCAATGTAATGTAAATAGATGACCGCAGGTGACGGTTTCCTGCAGACACTTTATTTCCTCTCTTTTATTTTTTCCTCCTAGGTGAAGGTGATGCACAAGCAGCTGCTTCTCTTCCACAATGCTATCTCAGCTTATTTTGCTGGCAACCAGCAGCAGTTGGAACAAACTCTCATACAGTTCAACGTGAAGTTAAAGCCGCCAGGATCAGACAAGCCGTCCTGGCTGGAGGAGCAGTAGTGAAGACGTGCAAGGTTCAGCCGTTTGAGATATACAGAGACATATTGATCAGTGACCATTGTGGTTAGAGGGACAAGGATTAAACCCATAAAGGAAGATACTGTAGGATCAGTAGCTGCCAGTGATAAAAGAAAAAACATGACCCATCCCTTTTATAATGTTTTTCAGTATCACTTATTACATAGATGTAACAACATTTTTGGTTATGAGATGGGTTTTTTTAGTCACACATGTACTTTTTATTACTTTCTTTAGGCAAAGCACCCGTTTATAAGATATCACTTCTTATTTATGTACAGTGTCGTCTTCTATTTCTGTAGAAAGCCTCGGCAGTTTTGCACATGAATTATGTTGTTGTTGTTTTTTTATGTTGCCTAAAGTGTTATCTATAATATATACTGAGTACATCACATTGGAGGAATTCAACAAATCTGATTAGTTAAGATAAGTTAAATAATGTCAAACATGTCATGAAATCGCCTCAGAAATGTCTGTTATTTCTGAGGTTGCATGTCTGAACCATTTCCTCTCAATTAAATCAAGATCAGATCGTCAGACAATCTTCCAAAGTTAAGCAGATTTCGTTATTGCTTTGTTGAAGATCTGTCTGAATGGCCAGTTTAGGCTTGACATGGCCAGAGGGAAATATATCAAGTGTGAATATGTAAGGATTTTCTCTTCAGATATGTTCTTACTGATAATCAAGCACAGGCACTACTATGTGTCTGGTGGACTTCAGAGTTTACAAATGGAAATAAGCCTCAACAGGAGATGCTACACTTCTGTTCGACATCGATCCACGGTAGGGATGCTTTGGTGACACATTCAGTAATTTAATTATCATGAAACAAATCAATAAATCAAACTGCAGCACATATTGAAAGTTTAAATGACGGGAAAATGACAAATTCCTGTGAGACTCATTTCTGACGTCTTTTTTTTTTTTTTTTACTTAACGGTGAAAGAAAATTCTGAACACGACACCACATGCAGTCTACGTTACATTATAAGTCTCAGCGTCTCCTCAAGTGCAGAATGTAAGAGTATATTTATTTACCAATCTGTTAATAATATCATATTTCTTTGTCCATTCCTCTTCAGTTGTTGCCATCTGATTGTCCTTGTCTTGTTCTGCATTTCCAATAAAGTGCTGGATGTTGTTTTCCCCTGACTGTGCAGCTGACACAGATCTCAGTTGGAGAATGGATGCGCTCACAGATTATGTACAGAAAGCTCACAATATATGTCAAATGTATGGCACCAGTATGTACATGAAAATACAACGATATATCTCTAACACGGTTTCCACGACTTATTATGTTATTTGATAATCAATGCACTCATTATTTGATGGTCTGCTTCAGATCACTATAACTTATAGCAGAACATTAAACACTTCATTGTATTTCAGCTGGGACCCCTTCTGTCAAAGAAAGCTTTTGTTTGCATTACACTGACTATATTTGTTGGTATGGCTCTTCTCCGGACCTCCCTGTCCTCCCACATGTGGAAAGGCTTAAGTTGGGAGAGCAGCAGCCAAAACATGTACAGGGCAGAGCAAGCGTGACAACGGAAATGACATGAATGAGTCATACACAGCATGAAAAGGAGGAGGACGGATGGAGGTGTGTTGCAAAGCAGCTTACAGAAGACGCAACAAAAGAAGTCTGGGAGCGTATATTGTAAGAGATTTGCTAACAGTGAAAGGAATCAGCTGATGGGGCAGCTTCAGATCAGTCAATATCAACTGATGGAGTTGGAATGAGAGCTCAGCATGACTTGAGGTCTGAAGAAAAACTCAATTTTGGCAGCAATTTCATTTTTTGTTTAAGTTTCATACGCCTGCTTCTATTTCTTATTTGAGAAGTGGCATTGGTGATGAAAATCTATGGATAAAACTATATTCTTCTATTTATTATTTGATGGATTCCTTCATTCCAGCAATGTTTTCAAATTGATGCTGTCAAAAACACCAAACAGTATCAGAAAACGCTTTTTTAACATTTCCCAAACCGTCTGATTAGTTAAGAAATGTTTTGATCCTGTGGCCTCTATGCATTTCACTGCTGTGTGTATGTTTTCTCCTCCACTTGCTTACTTTGAGGCTTCCTGTATACACACTTCATATTCATGGCACAGTATATAATATACATGACTGCACGGTAAATGGGAATGCCAAAATGTAAGACCTACACTTTCTATGTGACAGTACAAGTTGCAGCACCTCTGTGTGTATGACTGAATATTTGGTTGGTTTCTTTACTCTGATGCAGACTAAGTGTTGCTGTGAGCCAAAATGGATTTGAGGGATTTTGAATAAAGCTAAACTTGTTCAGCCTGATGTTACATTCACAGAGCAAGTTACAGAGGCTTCAATAAACCGGATGTGTTCTTTGTGTACACTAGGTGTGTGCAGGTGAAAACTTAACAACATGGCAGTACAACAACATTGAAATCACATGACCAACATAATGATGGTGACTCCTTGTTCCAGCTTCCAACTCCTTCTGAACAGGACTTTGAATGTTGTCAGATCAAAAGCAGAATATCAGATTAAAACACAGGATTGAGCTTGAGCTCCATTGTTAACTAAATTCATTTTAAAATTATGCACAGCTCAGAGGGGTCAAACTTTGTTCTACTTTGTTGAGAGGGGAGTTCATTCGTTATATTATAAGATACTAAAGAAGCAAAGAAAAGCATTTTAATTTCTGATTTAGATACAGTTGCACAATGACCTTTATTATATTGGCTTGCAATTCTGATGTAATGTGTTTGGGAAACTTCTCTCTACATTTTCAAGGAGTTACTATTTTTCAACTTGAAGGAAATATCAAAATGGTCTTACACAGGGAATCTAGACTTGAGTTTAAATATGTTTCTGTTAAATTTTAGAAAGCACTTTTTTTTTTTTTTTTTATTACAAGGACCAGCAAATTAACACAATACACAACAAACCACAACAACAACAATACAGAGACATTACAACAAAACAAAACAAAAAACGAACAAAGATTAACAACAGCAGTTTTCACAAGCAGAAAAGCACTTTTACAATAAAAAATAGATAGATATCCCCAATAAACTAACTTCACTGAAATAAAGTATGGATTACTTATAAGTGTTACATTCCTGCAGGTCGTGACCTATGGTCGTGACCTCTGTCGCTTGATCTGAAGGACAGAGGTCACAGACAGGGAAACAAACAAAAAGAAAATAGCACCTTCATTAAACAACAAAAATAAGGTGCTCTCAATGATAGGCTCGTTAGACGCACTGGAGGTCACAGGCTACCTCCATCCGTAACAAAAGTGCAGTGGTATGTACATTTTACTTGATTTTAACAAGTATTTAATTAATTTATAGCTACTAGACCTAGTAAAATGTACTTGATGTGTGTTGTAATTTATTATCGAATATCATTTTTAATTAATCCTGAAAAAGTTAGTCTTTTTTTCAGTGTGAGTAGAGAGTTATACTTTTCTTTCAGTGTAGGCTGTACTGCTGAGGAGCAGCTGGTCTTGTTGACACTCACGTTAGTAGAATCAAGTGATTTGCATACAAAAGTGTTTTATCTAACTTCTTATGTCCTTATCTTGTTTAGGACAGAGCTGAAGGGCCGTCTGCTAAAAGCCCCTCTGACCACCTGCTCACTTTTTAACCAAATGTCTTATTACTGAGTGAGCTATAAGAGAGCTTTATTAATGTTTTCGCTGTATTAGACAACGCAATTTGAAATAACAAAAAACGAAAGCTATCCGTCCAGTCCTAAGATTATCAATGAAGGCGTTTCTTAATGTTAAAAAAATAAGTAGTCTAGTTTTCCTATAAAAGTCCAGCCTTTGGACCAATCAATTTTCTTTTCTTATCAGTGTCAGTCACGCTGAAAGAGTCTGTATCCAGTGGACTGCTCACATTAGTTCATGACTTCTAGACAGAAACACACAGAAGTCCTTAAAAAAAGCCCCTGCTGGGAAGGTGTGGACTCCACGAACATAGAGTCAGTTACCTGGGCGTGTCGTCGTGTTCGTGCAGGGAGTTTCGACACTTTCTTCCTGTTTTATCCAGATAATTGTCAGTCTACTTTGGAGGGTGAAGTTACAAGAAGACGGCGGAGGGACAAGTCGAGGAAGAAAGAAACACGGAGAGTTTAGCAGCAGCGGAACCAAAAGCAAAAGTATGTTGTTGTTTTTTTATACCTGGTAAAAGTAATGTCGAGCAACGAGCATGCATTATACGACAATTTTGGGGGGGGGGGGTTAATTAACCAAAGATTCATGCGAATGCATATTTAAATTAAATACAAGGCTTTTACAATTCAGTCTTTATGTGCGTTGTTTTGAACAGTATTTTTTATTATATTAACAAAAACTGTAGGCTGATGGGTTTATGCTCAATACTTTTTTTTTATCCAACCTTCTCAAGTCCGAATTAACAATAGCACACGTTTGCAATATTCAATATATCTGTATTATGATTCTTAAGTTTATGGATTTGTTTTTTGACAACACAAAACTACTACAGTTGTTAATGTAAGGTTCTGGTGGGAAAGGGAATCCTTTATCCTGGGCTGAACACTGTTGTTTACAATCAAGTCTCCACCCTGCTCTGTTTCTTTAAGACTGAATAAATCATCCTAGCTGACAACACTGATGACAGTTGTTCCATCGCAACTACGACACAGTCCAATAAAACAGAACCAGTCATTTGCACTTCTTATTTCTCACAGGAATTTAACCAGCCTGTGTGTGTGACTAAGAACATGACAGCATCCAAAACCTGCTGACAGCTCCTGGTCAGAAGATGCAACCAGGGGGTCCCCCGGCTCCACCTCCACCTCCTCCTCCTCCTCCACCACCTCCACCACCTCCACCTCCTCCTCCACCGCCTCCTCCCCCTGGCCTCCCTTCATCTACACATGGCACAGGCCTATTTGGAAAGGGGGGCCATAGGAGGTCCAGGATGCGGAATTTTAACTGGGAAACTCTTCCCAAACACAGTGTGATAGGAAAGCACAACATCTGGACAGCTGACAAAACTGATGAAGAGTATGAGCTGGATACGGATAACATGGAGAAGCTGTTCAGCCGCAAGCAGGCCCAGCAACAACCCACGGCCCTGAACCGCCAGAGTCTGAGAGGTCTGCCTAATGCTGCTTCAGGAGGGGACATGGTGAGCACAAACCACTTGAGAATACAGCTGTCTTTGCTTAATCAGAGTCATACACTAACCCAAAGGTTTGTGACAATCACCTGAAATGTTTCGTCATTTTTTTTTGTATAATGGTTAGAAACCGGGACAAGTTCGTTCAACCTGTATTGATTTTATTTCTATGCATGCTGTTGAACCTGTACAATGTTTCTCTGCAAATACTAAAAAAACACTAGCAGAATAGTAATCAGAGAAATGACCTAATATGTCTCCTAGTTACTCTGTGTTTTGATCTGCTGTTCAATACAAGGGTGGAGTCTCTATTCCTCTGATCTGTTTGCTAAAGGAAGGTGGAGTTGTGAGCTCATGCAGCTTTATTTGGTATAGCAGCTTCTGTTCTTACTTTTGATCAGTAGCAAAGCTCTTGCCATACATTACGAGATAGGGCTTTCCGAAACAAACAAAAAAAAACACAACAAAGACGTTTTTTTGCATATCTATTCATAGCATTCCCTGTTATTTATGTATTACACAAACATTTGTTACACAATCAAAGTTGTCTGTGTAACAAAAGTGAGTTAAAATCTCTGACAAAACTTTTTCTTTGGCCTTTTTCTTAAAAGACACTTAAAATATCAGTGATGCATGACAAGGTATCTTTTCCCTGAGTGTTCAATACTATCAGCTCAAAGAATTCTCAACCTTTGCTTTGTTTAAAAAGCTGTGACACAAAAGACACTCTGCTCAGGCTAATAGTGAAATTATCTTAGTGGCTGACAAGTTGATTATATCCAGATTTTGTGTCCGTCCTCTCGCAGGTTTCCATCCTCAGCTCCAAGAGGAGCATGAACATTGGAATTTTCCTGAAGCAATTCAAGCGGTGAGTCAGTATTCCTAAGGTGTGATTGTTTTTGCACAATAATCTGTCCATATCCTGGTGTAAAACAGAGCAGGATGATGCAGACAGATTAGCCTCGTGCTGACAAGCCTTTCAAAGCCTGCATGTCTCAGCAGGTTTGATGTACACTGTTCTACAGCTCCAACAGGTTACCTTACTGTGGCTAGCAGCAAAATATTTGTTGTGAGCTATTGTGAATGTGTTTCCTAAGGCTATTGGCGTGTGTGGCAAATCTAACAGGAAATAGAAAAGATACAGGAAAGCTGTTAAAGATGGCCTCCAACCGACAGATATGTAAACATGTTTGACGTCAAACATTCTACAGTCCTGTGCTATGTTTTTCTGATGAATGACATCATAAGTGTTACTGTTTCGCAACGCTGTGTGAGCAGGTAGAGGCTTGTTAGTGTCAGCAGCCCAACTTTCCATAGACGCAAAAGTGTGTTGTTAACATTGACACATCCCATTCTGTAAAAAAACATCTTGACATTTTTTTAATTGAGGTTTGATACCTCCGCACCTCTCTCCACAGGCCTGTGCAAGACTTGATCGAAGACATTAAATCAGGAAATAGTCGCAACTTTGCTTCGGGAAAACTGAGGGAGCTATGCAAGATGCTGCCGGATGAAGGAGAGGTACTTGTGACAGCTACTGCAACAATGTTCTGTAAATCTTACGACATTGGTGCTCGAAGATTTTCCTGACAAAAACAACAGTGTGTTTAATTGTGTGGGTTGTTTTATTTTGCTTCACAAAAACTGCAGGTGAAGCAGCTAGTGGATTTCAAGCTCAAGCCCTCGGCTCTCCCTGAAGCAGATCTGTTTATGTTGATGCTGGTCAAGACATCCAGGTGAGTCACCGGTCGCAGTGTGTTCAATATATTGCAAAGGAAATGTCAGTGAAAGTTTACTGACGATGGACACTGTGTCTGTTAGTTATGAAGAGCGTCTCAGCAGCTTGGTGCTCAAAGAGGAATTTTTCCCTCTCATGGATGAAATCAGAGCCTTCATTGGTACTCTGACAGCTGCAGGAACAGGTATTGTTTTTTTTTTAAACAAGTATAAGTACATATTAAAAGTAAGACACCCATTGAGACTTTAATTTGACTTCATGTAGAGCTGTTGGAGTCTGATAATCTACATTCTGTCATTCGCCTGGTGTTGAAGACTGGAAACTTCATGAATGCTGTGAGTTTATGACACACACACACACACACACACACACACACACACACACACACACACACACACACACACACACACACGTCATAGTGGACTGTTGGGTGGCTTTCCTTTGTGTTTTAACATATCTGAATCTATTTTTTTTTTCTTTTTAAAACACAGGGTGGCTATGCAGGGAGTGCAGTTGGCTTCCGAATGGCTTCCCTGTTGAAGTTAGCGGACACCAAGGCAAACAAACCTGGAATGAATCTTATGCATTATGTTGTGATGGCAAGTCACTTTTACTTTGATCACATTTCAGTGTAAAACCATTATTACTGAATCTTCAAAAATGTGTGTGAATAGTGATTTTGATACAGACTTTCATCTCTATCACAGCAAGCTCACAAGGCCGACGTGGCTCTGCTTAAATTTCCAGAACAACTCCAACACATTGAAGCAGCAGCAAGGTACACCTAACTCTTACTGATTGCTATAAGCATTTTTAACCCTCTTTTTTATCTAGTCTGAAAATAACTTGTTTTTTGGTCTTGCAGAATAAATAAAGGCGAAATTGAAGCAGAGTTCAGAAAACAGGTAAAGAACGTAGAAAAAGCCAAAGCAGACACACTGAAGCAGGAAGACTTAAAGGCACAAATGGAACAATTTCTTAAGGTAAGAAGTCTGTTGCTGAAACACTGAGGTTGAGGTGATTTTTAAATGGTGGATATATGTTCTGATGTTTTGATTTTGGTCTTATTTAGGAGGCTGAGGTCTGCTTGGCAGAAATAGAGTCTGATCTTCAGGAAATGCAGGCCGTGAGTGACTCTGTGGCAGAGTACTTCTGTGAAGACCCAAACAAGTTCAAACTGGAGGAGTGCTGCTCCACTTTCCACTCCTTTTGTGCGAAATTTATGCGAGCCATGCAGGTATGCAATCGTACTGGCATGTTCTACCTAGGTGAGGTTAATAAACCCTACTTGATCTATTAATTATGTGTTTTTTCTGAAGGAAAACAAGTCTCGGGAGGTTGCAGAGGTTCAGAGGAGACACAGAGACAGACTGCAGTGTGCTGCCAAGCGCAGGTCTACAGCTACCTGCTCTAGTAGAGACAAAGAATTGGATGGAGTTGCATTAGAGTCTATACTAGTACAGACCTCCTTAACCAAACGTGTCTCTCGGAGGAGAAGCGGCAGGCCCACATCCACTCATGGAAGCCCCTCAAGAGGCAGCCCCATCAATGGCAGCCTATCGGAAATCATCTCTCAGGCTAACCTCCTTTCTGACGATCAAAAGAAGGGAGGGCTTTTAAGAGTGCCAGATGTAGGCAGGAAAGAGTGGCTCTCGCTGTGGAACTTACAGAGAACTCTTCACAAAATCAAATCCAGCCCATTGGTGAGGACAACAAAGAAAAAAGTGGCATTCCTCATGAAGAGGAGATGAAAACATCCAGAAAAGAGGACTCCAAGTCTTTTACACACCCTGCCAATAGGACAACCACCAATTCCTCCTCAGGCAGGACATTGTCAGCCACAACTGAAGATGAGGAAGATCTACAGGACAATAATGAAGAGGAGGCCCAAAAGTTACGTGAAGCATCTAGAAAAGTTTTGCGTTTTCAGAACAGCCGTGGCAGTGTCTCATCTGGGGAATATTCTCTGGAAAATCTGAAATCTCCTGGTCCACGTACCAAATTGCTTCGTCAAAGAACCGTTGACGAGGACACCGATAGGTATCCTGGAGACCCAACCAATGAGGATTTAGTTCGGTTTTTATTCAATACTGAACCATCATCTATACGTGACCTTGGCCGCCGCCATACTCTACCTTCCAAAGTGCTTAAAACTGAGGGAAATGAAGACAATGTGTCAGCTCTGCATCCAGTCAGATCTCCTAAATCTGCCAAAATGGAGAAAGAGACACTGACTACAGAGGGTGCTGGAAACAATTCCACAAAACAAGTGTTTGACTTTATTGATCAATCTCATGACTTTGAAAAATCTGGGGAGCAAGACCAGAATCCTCCTTCAGTGGCAATGAAAAGTGAAACAAATGTCTCTGTAGCCCATGTGCCAGGTGAAGGGCAGGGGGAAAAATGCCAAGAGGGAAAATCAATGGAGCCCAAAGACAACCACGTGCAAAAAAGTAGTGAAAATGTTCCACCAAAGAGTACATGGATTAAGACTGAAACAACTGGATTATTTTTTAGCTTTTTTAAACGCCTTGGAGATATGAGCAAACAGACAAACAGCAAGGAAACTGTCCAGAATTGCACTGATTCCAGTGTGTAGGTTTTTAAAGACATACATTTGAAAGTCAGGGAGGCACATCTAACTTTAGTTTTACTTGTATTTAACTCACCAAAGCTACATTGTAGCATTTTATTTAATGTTATTTTGGTAAATTGTTATCAGGGTTGTTCGGAGGTGATGGAAGGTTAAAGGAAAGTGTTGAAGGAACTATTGATGTGGAAAGGCAATTTAGCTTTTAACCACTAGATGGCAGATTGGAACCGTACCATGGTAATCTGTTGCTCAGGAAAGAGGTGTGTTGTTTAACTCAGGCAGTCTGCACACGGTCTTGTAAATAAAGGATCAAACTTACGACAACATTTTTTATTTCCTTGACAAGACATTATTCTATTCAGTTTTACTAATGGGTTAATACTGACTGTGCATTCTTTGTCTGATAAACAACCATGCAGAATGTATTGAGAAAGTAAGTGGATGTTGAAGGGAGCAGAGAGAAGTCAAACTGTAAAGTTAAGGATTGATTGTTACTTTTGATCAAATATAGCTGATTGCATTATTGTTAAATGTCAAGGTATATGCTGAATGCCTTTGTTTTTGCCTCTTTGTTTTTCTTTCTCTATTGATGTCATTCAATGAAGTTGTGGATGCTTTCAGGTCTTTCTCAATTCAGCCATTGATTTTGGCTTAAATGGGTCAGTGTTACAAAGGCAGCCTGTTGAGGGCAGAGCTGAACCGTGGACGATTGGTGGCAAATTGAAGGGTATTAACTTTAGAGGAGATTGCTGTAATTGGAGGCCCAACACCTGGTGGCTTAGGTGATGGAAGAACAAGCTTACCTAAATTTTCACTTGCGGCCAGACGGGCAGCAACACGAACTGTTCATCAAGCCACACGGGTCACCAAGGCCACAGCTTGTGCCAATAACAGGCGTTCAAGATGTAAGCTGACATACTGGCATCTCTGAGCAGTCAAGTAGAGTTACAATCATCAACTTTTAGGACCATGTCCAGTTGTCTGACTGAATTTTAAAAGTGAGGGATTGAAAATTAGCTTTAGTTTGGTTTTCTCTTCTAATCTGCCTGTAACGATTTGACACTTTTTTTCATCACTTTGTAAGGAATTGGTTATAAGACAGAGATGTATAGAAACTACATTGAAATAAATAGTATTGTCCCTAATATGTTCAACATGTTACTGTTGTTATTTAAACTCTATTCATTAGGCTGGTAAAAAAAAGATTAAAGAACATATATGACAAATATGTAACTGCAGCACGCTGAGATGTACAGGTTATTGTAATCCCACTTTAGAAACTGAATGTTCACAACATAAAACAGCAGTGGTGTTTCTTAATGACAGAATATAACACAGTGTGTAGAAGAGTCGTTTAAGACAAGGGGTGCGTTTCTTTATTGATGAGACCCAGTATGTATTGTTGAAACAGCATGAAAAATTGACAGTTTCAGAAAGCCTTAATGTAATGAATGCCTTTAGCATATTAACATTATACAAGCAGCTGTAAAGTTACATTTATTAGGAGGCCTGTTTTAAAGTGACAAGGCATTCATATGGAGCTACTAAAGCCTTCACCTCGTTGGATTATTTGTATTGTCACATCTTTGTTCAAAAAGAGAATATACACCCAACGTGTGATCAAAAAGAGATTCTTGCATCTGTAATAGTTAGTGGGTATAAGACTCGACGGTGTGTGTGTTATTTTACCTGCTGCTGCTGCTGCCAGACTGCAGCAGCCATCTTGACTAAAATACGATGGAAGCAGTTGCCATGGCAACTCCACATTGCAGAATAAGACCCAGAGATGACTGTGTCTCCCCAAGCCCCACCCCCCAACAAACTCCCCGACGCCTGCAGCACAACGGCAGTCTCACAAAGTGTATTCACATTATATTACAGTGGCATCCTTTTCTCTGTCAGTCCCCCCTCATTAATCTTTACCTTGAGCCTTTATTGACCCATCCCCCACTCCCCTGTTAGTACCACAAACGATTGAAAGATTCTGCTTTTTTCTTTAATCATCATCTTTCCTTTGAATCATCTTTCCTTTGCTAGCTACAGCACTCACTATTACAAATCCCAGCTGAATTATCAAGTGCCCTGACATCTAGCAGGACTAAAGATTTAACAGAACTCAGCATTTCTCCGTTTTCTGTAAAAAGAAAGAGCCCAGTTGCATAAAAACCGGCCTCATGGTTTAAAAAGAGAGAATGTAATTTTAAAATTGAATGTGAAACTGTTTATTTTTTTATTATTATTGCCTCATTGTATTATTTAGCAGTTTCTTTCCCTTTTGTATTCACCTCCCATTCTTCTTCCCAGCCTTATAATTCAAAGCTTTAAAAAAAAAAAAGAACTGCATCCTTTGTCCTTTTAAGGGAACTGGGTGGTATCTTAGCAAGCCAAACCCCTTTGCACCAGACAGACTGTTTCTCTCAAACAGTTCTGAGGTTTCATGGGTTTGCATATTCCCTGCCCCCCTCAGGCTGTTATTGGGCTCTTTAACTCCTCCCATCAGCCGTCAGACCAATGCTTCCTGTTGGCCACTCCCCTAATCTCCTCCTTTCCCTTCTCCTCTTCCTTACTGTCCCTTCTTCTCCCAGACAGACCCTGCCCTTTCCTTTCTGTCGCCCCGGTCTGTGGATTGTGTTGTGGAGGATTGGGACTCTGACAATGGGAAGCTTTCTTTCACTCGGCCCGCTATGCTGACACTCCTCTCCCTCCTGTTGGGAATTCATGTGAGTACGACCTGCTCTTTCACTTCTTTTTATGGTGTCGTATTTCTGCTTTCTCATCCTGTTTGTGCCATTTTGTGGAAACCTAAACAATACAATGACTGGGATGGGAGCAGATGAATTATTGATCATACCATCTTTCCCAGCATCTGTGTATTGGAGAATCTCAGAGGGACTGTACTTATTAAGTAGAGTATCATTACCTTATTACTGTTAGTATGTTCATTTGTCATGAAAACATGAAGTCAATGATTATAGCTTCTTTTGAGGGCAACTGTTGCACTAAAACACTGCTGTGATTCTTCAATGCCTCCTCAGCCAGCCCACACACTTCTCCATTTTAGCTCCTAGGCGGGCCTGGCCGGCTCTGTGGCAGGTGGGCATCTGTGCTGCAGTCTGAGGGCTGGGCTCTGTAATCAAGCATACATGCTCTTTTGTTTAGAGGATTAGTGATCTCTCACTGGCCTTCTGATCTGAATTTCTAATGGGTGTAGGGCTAAGAGGCTATATGGTATGTGAGCCACATGTGAATCAGCATCCTGTTTGCTTATGTCATTCTGTGAGTCCTTGTGTTGCATTGTACTGCAGCAACAGCAGCCAGTGCATCATTTCAATTGCTCTGTCCCAGACTGCGAGTAGATAGATGGTTCACTGGTTTCCTTATTGATTGATCTTTTGTTCTGGAAGATGGCTCTTGTGTGAGTAGAACTATCTGAACGTTACATGTTTGACGAGAGCAGCTGATGATGGAGATGTTGGGCTGGTTTTTGCTCTGCAGGATGGCTGCTCTGGGTCACTGGGAGGCTGCAGACTCTCCTGGATGCTGTGCCTGAGGGCAGATACTTAGCAGGAGTTACATGTCTGTCTCAGCTTCAGGTTTCAGTCAGTTTGATATACACGGGTTTGGAGTTACAGATCAGGGGCTTGCAGCGTGTGTATGAGAACAGTTCAATCTGGACTGATTCACCACATCTAAATCTTGAGGACAGCCATTTAAAGGACTCTAGGAACAGGGAATACAGACACGTTTGTCAGTATTGAAGCTGTAGCTGCACCCTCTGAAATCCATTTGCCATGCACCCACACACAAAAAAGGAACACAGATGAATGAATAGAAAGAGTGATGTGTTTACTTATCACTGAATCTCCAGGTTACATCATCCTGTAAACAACATACATGACTAAAAATGAGCTGATTTGAAATTGTAAAAAAATCAAATTTGATAAATGAAATATTGCTTAAAATTGTTAATTTTGTCTTAGAAATTAGTTGTTTTAATAAACTGCTCTAATACAGATTTATTTTTTACTGCACAACAAGCATTGTTACTGTACCTCTAACTTTGTAGAACTATTTTTAATAAACTGTTGGACGTTTCTATTTAGACTTTCTATTTTCAATCTCTTAATTTGTATAGTTTGGTCATGCTTCCTTCTCTGACCAGCTCCTGCAGGCATGTTGGCTATTGATCATTCTGCTCATTCTAATGTATGAGCTGCAGCTCTGTGCTTGATCAAAGGCAATCACACTATTTAAGTGTCCTCTTTTCAGATGGGTTTTCCTGAGCCACTTGTTACGGCTCGTTCATCATTCATCAGAGTCAGCACTTTCGCTGCATGAGGACATTATCTTTAAACTCTGATTATAAGGCGTCATCAGTATGACGTGGCCTGATGACAGAAAATGTAGCTGCATCAGAGATGACAGGATACAAACTGTAATAAAAACTCAAGTTGTCTAAAGTATTTTCCATTAAAGACAAAATAATGTAGTTTAAAACAGTTATAAAGTTCCCTATCATACCTGCATCACATACTGTAGATACATTAAAGTAAACACATCATTCATCCTAGCTCCATTGTACAGTTTTAATTATTATAATAATCTTAGTTAGTAGAGAGTGTTTACCTGGGATGTATAGGCCGATCACATAATTGTTATGTTTAATCTTTAATTCTCAACAATCGCTTGTTGTAAATTCTTTGCCACAAATTATCCATATTAAATATTGACTGACTTATGGTAATCATGTTGCTGAGCAAATATTGTGACAATATCCGCGGAGGACAATAAAGCAGAGACCTCATGTGACCGTCTGAACCATCATACAGGAAGCCACAGTGTCTGAGTAGCTCTGAGTGCAGGTGGATGAGGGTCTCAGGGGCCATGTGCACGCTGCACTGATCGACCTTTAATAAATCTGCAGTGCATGTTGTGTCTGCAGACACCCGGCCTTCCAATGCCGCATTGTGTCCTGCTTGCCTTTGTGATGGTGGGCTCACGGGGAGAGACACAGATGTCCCCCTGACTCTCTTTTTGTGTCAGCGTTGATTAAAAATTCTGCTGACTACTGTGCTGTGCATGATGTGGTCACTTTCTCTCGTCGTCTCTCATTAGCAGTCACATGTTATCAGTCTGCAGACAAAGGCAGATGAGAGATGGCTTTATTGGTCATTTGAATTACAGTCACTACTTTTTCTTTACAGTTAAGGACCTCTACAGTTGGTCAGGATATTTTATTCAGGAATTTCATATGTATCCTAAGGTATTCTTAAGAATCAGACTCGTCCAGGTAAAACAGATAAATACAACAATATAAACTTGGAGCCCAGTTAAAGAAAGTATTTAAATATATAACATGAAACTAAAATGGGTGTGTTATTCTTACAGACTGTAAACATTATATCCACAGACTGTTTTATTTAATTATGTGAAACCCGTCATCACTGACCATGCCCGGTCTGACAGAGACTGATGCATTGAGACAGGTTCTTCATGTGATGCAGTGAGCTGTAAGGGGAGCTTGTTAGTTTGAGGAGCAGAGGTTTTTACGTGCTGAGTGAATAATGGCTGACAAGTCATCATCATGTCGACCCAGGCGCCGTCACTAGCCCCACAACAACCCCTCAACACTCTAAACGCAGAAATGTACTTTCAGAATACATCACTGTTGTTGTTTTTTTTTACATGATTCTACAACAGTGCACATGTTTTTGAATATACAGTAGTTGCCACAAATGGGACAATGCAGTCAGTCAAGCATGTTGTGTGTCTGAATTAGTGTCATCACATATTGCTGCAATTTGTTTGCTGTTTTTTTTTTCTCGAACCATTAGTACTTTAATCCTCAGGAAGATTGAAAATGAAGATCTTTACAGGATATGTGACACTCACAGTGATGTGGAGAGGATGTCCAATGGTGTGTTGTAATGTAACTAAACAAATGAGCTCTAGTGGTAATACTCAGTCCAAATCTTAACATTAGTCTCCCTTTTCCTTCTCCCTCTTCTTTATTCTATTAATTGCAAATATCTCTGTCATTGCGTACTACATGGATTCTTTAAAAAACATACTAAATCTGTCCAAACCAGTACATTTCTTCAAATGAGGGACGAGGCTTCTTTCTGCTCAGGCTCAGTGTACACAGGAACAATGA